ATATTTCTATCACATTTTTGGTATAAAAATTCCAAACATTCAGTTAAATTGATGGTTTTCTTGTCTGTCCAACAAAATTGATTTCAGCTTAAATTCTCACCAACGACCGGCCACATTAGTGTTGGTTGACTGCCATCAATATTCTTGATCTCCAAATGGTGATTCTTCGTAATTCCTTTCAATGACTTTTTGACAAGCTCTCGGAAGTGCACCGGATTTAAAGCCAATTTTCATTGTTCCCAAAATGTAAAACTACAACTTTGGTTCTGTCATGTGATGCCATTGGACCCAAAAGGACTTTTTCCTATAGGCTCACATTGCATGAAAAGGACATCTTTAAATGAGAGCATCACAGCCCCCGCAGGATGACTCGTTTTACTAAAAGGATTTGATTATTTCAGTCCAAGTCCAGTCTTTATGGTCTAGAAGCACCGCACGATTAAATCATTTTAGTAGAGGGATAAACCAGAAGTTAAGCCTCGGTTGTAAGTGAGTCAACTGGAAGACCATTCACTCCTACTAGTCCATACCCACTGAGTGCACAGTTACCCACATACAGTTTCACATGGTGTATGTTTGGGATACAGGTCATAGGAAATTGCAGATTAAATAGTCAACTGAACCCATTAAGAAGAGCAATGTATTCAGACATTGTTTTTGTGGATTTGATAGTACGATTGCTTTATTGAAAGTACAGTAGTACCATTGCCAATAGTGGGATAGTTAGTGGGCTAAAACTGTACATTAGTAGTTGAGGTAGCACGTTGAAAGGCAGATAGTTAAAGTGTTTATATGTTGTATTGACTTAAAAGTGGGGCGCACTGGTAGAATGACTGACACTGACAGTTTCCGTGATTAGCATACCATACCATGACTTCGCCATACCAAATATTAGAAAAAACACCAACATTGGTCCACAGGGGGAGCCACAGCGATCGGTCACATTTTAGCCATTTTGAAGCATTTTTCTGTTGTTATAGCGCCACCCAGTTGCCAATTAGAGTTAAATTTCTCCAGTCACCTTGAGGCATCCTGTTCTACATATCTACCAAGTCTAGTAAAAATCCATATGGCGGTTAGGCCTAGATAAGAAATGAGCTCTCTAGCGCCCCCATTTTGTTTGATGGGGTCAATAATGGAGGGGTCCCCTCAGATTATGTGTGGTCATATGCCTACAAAGTTGCGTGGTGATGGGTGAAACCCTTGAGATGTTATACACCTTTATGTGATGAGCCACGCCCTCCGCAATATTCATTGCCTTATAGAAGCTCAGTTTTAGTAAGTTTTCCAACTTTTGCCAAGAGGGAACTTTAGATATTGGTTCATAGATTATGTTCACCCAGTTTCATGCAGATCGCTCAAACTTCCTAGGAAGAGATCCATTTGAAGTGTTTTTCAAAAAATTCAAAATGGTGGAAAATCTATATAAGCGGAAGTTATGGGTTCTTGATGCAAATGTGTTCCTCATGAGGAGAGGCATCTCTGTGCAAAGTTTCATGTCTCTACGACATACGGGGCATGAGATATGCCCATTCAAAGTTTGCAATTTTAATCGGTTGCTATAGCGCCCCCCTTTGGCCAATTGATGTAATATTGCTTCATTGGCATCCTCCCATGACCCTCTACCACTGTGCCAAATTTCACATGGATTGACCAAGTCAGTGAGGAGAAAAAAGTGGAACAGACACACACACACAGTTTTCGTCATTATATAGTAAGATAGTAAGATGAGAACCTTCATGATGTGTTTTTTTATCGATCTGGAATTCGCCTTTTAGCAACTTTTGTGGCAGATTTCAGACAGACGTTATGCACTGTGCCACAGGAAGTTAGAGTATAGATGAACCTTAATTGATTTAAATGAATAAGGCACTACATAGTGAAACAGGCAGCACAGTTATTCGTGCATTTCTGATTTTCTCTCAGTTTTCATATTGTGTGACAGCATGGACTCAAACATCACGATCTACAATCAGACACCTTTCATTTTTATACAATCGGGCACTGAAAATAATGGACAAAAAGCCTGTTTGGTGGCATCACTATCGCATATTAGAGCGATACAATCTTATTTATCAATATATTTTTTATTGAGACAATATATTTGTGAGCTGTTTATAAAGATGTACATCTTCATCACAAACCAATGGGCTCAGGGCTGACACCCGCAGACAACCAGGGGAAGTCAGAAAGTAACACATGATTGCATTTGGTCTTTTATCATTAGTCATATCTTTTAAGCTGAAGGAAACACTGTTAACAGTGAGAGTTGTGATGTGATACAGAACGGTGTGTACCACAGATTGTATACATTGATGGGGGTGTGTGCTGCTCAGGATGTTACATAACAGTGTGGAGGCAGACGATGATGAGGGGGACCTTGATGCGAGGCTGGACACCTGACCTCTCTGTCCCTGTCTCTTAACTTCCTCTCTGCTTCCTGATGGCAGGATGAGCAACTGGGACGTGCTGTTCTTTTCAGGGACAGCTCACGAACAGACGCTCAGGATGCAGCAATGCCCAAATAAATTTACATCATGTGTTTTAGTCACTTAGCTACAGGAGCAACATACAGCACACCGAGGGCAACAACAGGTCGAGCTCTGCTTTACTGGAGGTGTGAATAGATATTTAAAAAGAAAGCAGTGTCAATATTATTACTTCAGACCTTCAGCTTTTGAGATATCTGCTGCCAAAACCACAACACCGTGTACAGAAGGAATTTCATAAGTGGTGCATTGGTTATATGAGGTATTTATCCATAGTCAGTGTATTACTTACAGTAGATGTCAGCTGGCACGCCCCCAGTTTGGAGAAGCAGCAGGAGTACTGACACAGAAGCAATGTACTGCTGTGAAAAGGAGCAGCGGGACAAATGTATTTTACCCTCCTAAATCAGTATCAATATAAGTGTACGCTACATTTACAATATTTCTACTGCTTTACTGCCATCATATTACTCTCTTTAAAGCCAGATTCCATTGGAAAGAGAACCCCTGCCATTTAAGCTGAACACAGGAGCTGCTGAACTATTGCCACCTCCATCGGTTTGTTTGTGTTATTGTGTAACTTTGGTGTTTTAAATGGTTTGCTTGGATTCACCAAACTCACACAATAACACTAACTAGATGAGAGAAAATGAATTATAGGATTACCAGTCCATACCCATTGGTAGCTTTGTCACCTTCTACCTATGCCAATCCTCAATGCCTATGTGCAGTTTCACATAGATTGACCACGTCAGTGAGTAGAAAAACGTGGGACAGACAGAATGACACACTGACAGTTTCCGTGATTATGTACAGCATACCATACCATGACTTAGTCATACCAAAAATTAGAAAAAACACCAACATTGGTCCACAGGGGGAGCCACAGCGATCGGTCGCATTTTAGCCATTTTTAAGCATTTTTCTGTTGTTATAGCGCCACCCAGTTGCCAATTAGAGTTAAATTTCTCCAGTCACCTTGAGGCGTCCTGTTCTACATATCTACCAAGTTCAGTAAAAATCCATATGGCGGTTAGGCCTAGATAAGAAATGAGCTTTCTAGCGCCCCCATTTTGTTTGATGGGGTCAATAATGGAGGGGTCCCCTCAGATTATGTGTGGTCATATGCCTACAAAGTTGCGTGGTGATGAGTGAAACCCTTGAGATGTTATACACCTTTATGTGATGAGCCACGCCCTCCGCAATATTCATTGCCTTATAGAAGCTCAGTTTTAGTACGTTTTCCAACTTTTGCCAAGAGGGAACTTTAGATATTGGTCCCTAGATTATGTTTACCCAGTTTCATGCAGATCGCTCAAACTTCCTAGGAAGAGATCCATTTGAATTGTTTTTCAAAAAATTCAGAATGGCGGAAAATCTACATAAGCGGAAGTTATGGGTTCTTGAGGCAAATGTGTTCCTCATGAGGAGAGGCATCTCTGTGCAAAGTTTCATGTCTCTACGACATATGGGGTATGAGATATGCCCATTCAAAGTTTGACATTTCAATCGGTTGCTATAGCGCCCCCCTTTGGCCAATTGATGTAATATTAGAGTATGAGTAGGTGGGGATATATGTCATGATAATTACATGCAAATATTAAATCAATCTGACGCTTTGAAGGTACAACAATTGCGCTGCATATAAGATTTTGGGAAATTTGCAACACTACAGCAGCAAAGGGATGGAGTGCAAACAGGAAGCATCAGTAGAAAAAAATACAGAGCAATATATAAGTATGTAAAATAAGTACAATGTACAGAAACAAAGAGCAGTGTAATAAACAAACAGTATAGAAACACAAAGCAGTATAATAAGGAAGCATCAGAGAGAAGCAGAACATCATAAAGAGACATACTGATTTCACATTATTGAACGATGGAAGTAAAGATATTGCACAGTTTGACAAAAGTGATACTGCACCTGAGTGATTGTAAGCAGTAAAGAATAAAAGCAAGATATAGTAAATAAACAGACAGGCTGAGTGGCAGAATTTACTTTACTGCACGTATCATGTGCAGATATATTTCACAGTTGGTATAAACAGATACAGATAATGCACATGAGTGATGATTGTCCTGTGGTGTGCTCGTTAAGTCTCACAGCAGCAAGGAGGAAGGACCTGCAGTATCTCCGTTGCCATGGTTACGGAGACTCAGGGGGCGGTAGTTAGAAAGTCTGCCTGTAATACAAAAGAGGCTGTCCAGATACAGATATGTATGGTTGATCACGAATGGATAAGTCTCCTCAGTCTCACACACACACACACACACACACACACACACACACACACAAAATGGTATTTATGAACTTATTTTAGACTTGCTTTTTGAATGATGGGTGTGTAAGTAGGCAGCTCTAATATTAGCCACAGCTACTTTATAAAATGTGTTTTCAAACTGCTCTGCTGAAAACAAGCGGACAAAAACTCAACTAATGCAGCTTTAACTTTCAACGACAAAAATTACACTATATGTTCAGTATTTTTTGAAAAATGTTTATTTCTGACTTACTTTACATTGGGTTGCTCTGCATTATGTATAATCCACATTTATTTTAACTCAGCTGTAAGATGCCCCTTTATTTTCTCTTTAATGTTGCCATAACTTCTGATTTTAATGGATGGATTTCTTGTAGAGATAAACTCTCCCGCTAATGTATCGCTCCTCCTGCTGCAGGTCCTTGACTCTCTCAGCATTCAGATGTGGGTTTTCCATGTATTTGTCCGTCTCTTTGACTCCTACTGGACTCCACAGTCCCTCGTCCTCCATCAGCTGCAGCTCTCTCTCCAGTTCCTTCCTGTATTCGATTGATGGTGTTGTTGTGTGGTCACCTCTCGAAATGCAGACAAAACCTCCTGTAGACAAACAATGTATTTAGTTATAGTTAGTTTTATACTGGAGGAAGCATATTATCTGTAAAACCCTTCTAAATACTCACACATGAGATTAACACATCCATTTAAAAAACACAGATTCCAACTCTAACAGACTGTTAGAGCTCCAAGATCATCAGAAGCTTTACTTTGTCTTATCTACAGTAAATCTGGTGCTTTATGTACCTCATCAGGTCACTTCACCATCTATTGACTGACTGAACACTGACAAGATGAGACGAGACGAGACAACACAAGACTTTGTCTCCTAGAAATTATATCTATATTCTACAAATTTACAGCTTCTAGCTGTAATAATGTTTCTTTATCAACATAATGAATAAATGATTTTTCAGCAATGTCATGAAATGTTCTGTCTGAACATACTTGTAAAATGTTCACCAGTGATTTTTTTTGTTATATCTGCAATATTTGCTCGTGGTATTTATAGTGTACTGGATGTTTTTCATGGCTCTGTTTGGACACTCAGTTTCTAAACCCATCCCTGAAGGATTGGTGGTCTTGGTCTAATATTGGAAAAGTCATCAGTGACCTGAGGAAAGACACTGGTTTGAATTTGCTTTTTCAGCCCTGAGTTCTGTCTGCAGGTCTTCCCTTCAGGCTCCATATGGCCCCAACAACCTCAGTGTCCCCCTCAACTCCTGTGGTCATCACAGTCTTGGTGGTTGTTGATTCAGAGGTCTGAAACCAGACTAAAATGCTACATCTGCTTATCTGGAGCTAGTTACCTGGTTTGGCAGCATCGCAGAACTCCCTGACAGCACTGACCGGTATGAAACCAGCATCCATACCACCGGTGACGATAACCACATCAAACGTATCTGAAACCAGGAAAAAGAAGGAGGAAGAAGAGCCAGGTTTAGTTTCCAGAAGTCATTGTTTTAACACTCAAAGATGAGCAGTGAGTGTATGCATTGTGAGTGTAGTGTACCAGTCGGTGCAGGCAGTGGTTCTGGTCCCAGTAGGGCCAGTTTGAGGTCCTGATAGAGGCCAGTTTTTGCAGCTTGTTCCAGCATGCCTTTACTGCCATCCACTCCCACAAAATGCCTGAAGCCCCGTTTAACCATCTATAAACACAAGAAGAAGAATGCAGTCAACATTAACACTGAATCATAAAAACTGATCAGAACTTACAGGTGAATACATTCAGGATCACACTTTATTTCACTGGTCCATAATTCCCTCATGATTCCATACACACTGTCCTGGAAGGAATTCTGTAATTTAATATCAGTGCAGTGAAACTTAATGGTGGGCTGTATGACTAAGAATTTTTTGAAGATTTTGGCAGTTTGACGGTTTATCTGGGGGGTTTTTTTCCTTCTTTTTTATGGCTTTATAGTTGCTTTTTCTACTTTCAAGAGTCAGGCTGCGCTCACAAACTGTTCATGTGTTTTCCTACTAAAAGTTGTGCACCCAAATTCATACAAAGCCCATGTAATTTAAAAAGCTGCGATCACGTGACCAATGCACTGAGTGGAGTAAACAAGGAAGCAGTCCCGGGCGGCCTAGTAAGAAGGCAGGTTGGTTCAATTTTGAGGTCAAAATTTGATTGGATTTTTTATTTGAACATCTTTTCAGTAGTGTTGGGATTCACAGGACCACAGATGATTTATCATTTGGTAAAATCATCACTGGACAATTTAAAGGCTTTTTCCTCTGCATGCTCTTTGTCTTCAAACAAAGAGCTATGCGACACCCATCTCCACAGGAGATCTCACCTCACACCTCAGTGAGACTCAAGTCCCAAAACTTGATTGGACCTTTACAGTGACATGTGACTCTGATGTCACAGGCATCTGTAGATCTGTGCTCCCTTCCACAGATCTCTTCCTCTTCTTGCCCTGGAGCTTCAACAGCTCCCATCTCTCTCTGGTTGGGCCTGGAACAGCCCAGAAGCCTAGACCCTGGTTCCATAGCCCCAAACCACTAAAGGGAGGGCAACTGATCACAGACTCTCTTGCAAACACAAGGTTTTGCAACTAGCTTTCCAGCAACAAGGAACTAAGTGAGTTAGCACCCAGTGTCTAATTCTGCAAGGACCCCGAGCGACTGGCTTCCTCTGATCAGTACCTCTGGAACAAAGGACCCAAAAAGACTGCACCTGGAACCATCTTCCCAGCCTTCTTCTGCCGGCTAACAAAGCAGCACACCACCAAGTGACTCTTTCTTCCATCCACTCAAGGATCGGTAACATAACAACTGGGCATAGCTTCATCACAGCTTTACAGGCTAAGCAAGACTGTTTAACTTGTTGTATGTGATTTGATGCTGTTCATTGAGTTATTGTTGTGATAGTTTGCAGTGAGGTCATTGATTAGTTGGCTTCGCCAAAGCTAAGTGTTTAGTTTGCTAATACTGTTCACAAACAGATTCTTGCACCCAACTAAACAATCTCTGCACTAATCCAGACCGTTTGCAACACACGTCACATTGACATAGACTCATTAACAAATAGGCTTTCAACAGAGCTACACCCAAACAGGCATCTCAAAGTTCCCGCTTCTTTTCCTTTGTCTTTGTCCTGACCACACAGTCAGACAAATACCCAAGGCTATTCAAGAGAAGGCTGAGACACGGGGTCAAACATGGGGGGATTGCACATGCGCAGTGTAACTTGAGCTGCGATGTTGGAGGGTGACAGCAGGGGCGCTAGATAAAAAACGCAGGATCCGCTCAGGCGATCAAGGAGTGCGCTTGGTGCGGTCTGCTTGGACATTTGGACGGCGGCTGCCTGAAGTTGTCCGAATTGCATCTCTGTCATTCTCACCCACAACGCAGGCCACCAGTGACAGTCCAGTAATAAGCTGTGAAAATGACATGCATGCACATCCCCCTTATTCCGTGGTCTCACGCCATCTACTGAGCCTTTGAGGAAGTGCAGACCAGATTTTACTGCGCATGTGCAGTCCCCCCATGTTTGACCCCGTGTCTCAGCCTTCTCTTGAATAGCCTTGCAAATACCTCCCCCTGAAGCCAGCCTTGATTCGGCCATTTTGGTAGTTCTCTGTTGTCAGCCATTTTGTTTTGTAGGCCAAACGGCTCTTTGATCACCACACCCGCCTTTGTCTTTCTCTTCTTTCTCTTCTTTCTCTCTCTCTCTCACACACACACACACACACACACACACACACCAAGCTTGTATATAGTTAGTTAAAATTTGTGTGTTTTGGTTTGCTTTGCTAGTTTGTGAATAAATATAATTCTTTGGAATCATGCCTGCTGTCTGTTTAATGTTGCACAAGAGGGAATGAATAGTCAACCTCTGCTGCGTCAAGAACTCCGAAATCCTTCAGGCATTACTGTTAACTTTGATTGTTGTCATTAATTTAATTATTAATCAAACTCCAAATTACTAGTTTAGCCTGTTTTATGAGACTGATATCTTTAACTCGCTATCATTTTTCCCTTCACAGGAATGGTGCCCCACGAGGTGATTTAATGTTAATTAAGTCACATTATTTAACATAATTAATAATTATTAATAATAATTATTAATTATTTACGATAGCCAATTAAATCCCAACATATTTGGTGCCTCCATGTGAAGCCTAGTGTGTTGACCCCAACATTTATGGTGCCGCCGAGTGAGGTAAATATCAGAATCAGAATCAGAATCAGAAATACTTTATTGATCCCTGAGGGGAAATTATTTAAATTATTTAAATTATTTAAATATATGTTGACCCCAACAATAGTGACAGCTACGCTCTCTTTTCTGATCTTGGATGTACTGTAGTGACGGAGCCTCTCCAAGCTGTCAACAGACTGTTCTACTAACTGGCTAGCTGGTGAGCTGTACCCAGCCTGCCGTTCAGCAGTGTAATTTTGTAAATGTACAATTCTCCCAGCGGGCCACCCTCACTGTTCGATGGTGATATTTGGTTGAATTTAGGGTGTGATGTTGGGTGACTAATTTCACAGACATAGATTACTGACGACAGATGACGTTTTTTTGGTTTTAAGTTGTGTTGCTCAGTATCCAAAATCTTTGTCTTCCAAATGTCTCATGCTCTTTTGACGTAGAGTAACAACATTTAGTCGTAAGGTGTGGAGAACAAACCCAACATCTGCGAAACTTTCATAATGTTAACATCCACACAACCTGAGATTCTAATGTCATTGGACATGTAAAATATCGTCAACCCAACTTTCATTCCAACCAAAATTTTACATCTGTCCATCATAAAAGTCCAATGTCTTTCTGAATATCATACTGACGTCTGGTGCCTGATTGGCTTAGTGTTACAAACTGTGTAGAAAGTGAGATAGTTGTGGGTTATTTTTTCTTGTTTTATGAAGTTAAATGTTCGTAAGAAGGGTTCGTTCTTAATATGGGTCTCCTCTCAATGCACTTATCACAGGTTGTCCTGACCATATTGCTCTTCACAGCGAAGATTATAATATATTTTGCTACCTGCTGAAGAGTTGCAGCAGCTGATTCATCTGTGCACCAGTATGGTGGTGTATGACAAATGCATATTGTACAGGAAATCACAGCCGCTTTAAGCAGATCAATCAGTGTGATTTTCTGCTGTTGTATCACCTGAAACTCAGACTTTCCTGTCTGCTTGGTTTAATCGATTACCACTGTTGGACTTTCAAAATGAATTATTCTCTGTCAGCTCTTTGATTTTAAAGCTCACCAGTTTAGTGACCAATCCGGACCCACAGGCGACGTCCAGAATCTGAGCTTCTTCAGGACTCCCAGAGAAGTTTTCAGACAGGAAGTCTACTGCCAGCTGTGGTGCTCTGTAGCTCAACAGGGTGACATCCTGTTTTTTAAAAAGTGAAATTCTCCAGTTGGAAGTGGTTTTTGCTGCAGGGTTGAATATTTTCAGGACCTTTACTTGCAACAGAGTATATTTACTCTGTGGTACTTTCAGTTAAGAGAAATATCTGAATAGCCCCCCCGGTTAATAATATCTTCTCTTGTTTAATATTTTAATGGATGGATTTATCATCTGAACAACAAATGAGCCTCTTGCCTAGCAAACACTATTATTTACAGTGATGTTTAGTGCTGTACATTGTCCTTGTAAAAACAAACAAACAAACAAACAAACAAACAAGCTCAGTTTTTTAGCTCTGTTTTTGGTCTCCACCAGCAAAAGCAAAACTAGGAGTTCAAAGAGGCCAAAAAGCTCCATAGAGCTGCAGTGATGAATAAACAAATATTGATTTCACAGCTCTATTAAGTCCTCATCAGACCTGAGCAGAGAGCGGCTCATTGAAACTGACCTTTTCATAGTTTTCTACCCAGTTGTCGTAGAACTCAACTCGATCTTTTGGATCAGAACTTTTACAGGATTGAAAAGCAACCCTCGCATCAGTCTGAGTTCTGCAAGGGACCGACATGATGAGGTGATGAACCTGCCACAAAGAGACAGACCATGGACATGATTACATGAGATTTTATAGTCAGACAAAAAAACACTGTGACAGGAGTCAATGTTAAGTCACTTCACAGGAGCTCTCTGACACACTAAAGATGTTGTTCCTCACATGGTTTTACCTTTCTGTTCAGCGTCATAGATGATTTTATCCAGCAGCAGTTATCCAATCAAGAGTTCAAAATATTCTCTCAGCAGAAAACACTTTTAGGCTCCACTGCTTTGCAGTTCTGAAAATGGGGAAGTTGGATTCAGCCAACTGGAGTACCAAGCCCCGCCCACCGGCCGAGTCACAAAAGGTCTCATTTCACAGCGCCATCACAGCACTGAGACTGCACTCATAGAGGTAATAAATGACAATCGCCTGAACACTGACTCAGGCAAAGTCTCTGTTTTAGTGCTGTTGGATTTAAGTGCTGCTTTTGACACAGTGGAGCGAACCATTTGTTATAAAGACTAGAAAAGTGGGTCAGACTCACTGGAACTGTCCTTAATTGATTCAAGTCATATCTTCATGAGAGGAAGTACTTTGTCTCGATTCATAATTATAGTCAGAGCAGATGGCTGTGACATGTGGCGTCCCACAGGGCTCCATTTTGGGAACCCCCTTGTTTTATCTCTATATGCTTCTGTTAGGCCAAATCATACAAAATATTAAATTAGCCGACCATAATTATGCAGATAACACGCAAATATACATATCCCTTTCACCAGGTGATTATAGACCTGTAGAATAAACCAGTGTCACTGTATTGAGCAAATCAATGATTGGATGTATCAAAATTTTCTCCAACTCAACCGAGATAAGACTGACATAATTGTCTTTGGGCACAGAAAGAAAGACCTAGTGTCAGCTCTCACCTTGAATCCCCCTCTCTTATAACTAAGAGTCAAGCAAGAAACTTTGGTGGTCAGGAACGCATACCTCTAGTCACCTCTCTGTCAGCCTCACTAAATCTTTGCTACATTTGGGGGGGATCGGCAGGAGGGTGCAGGGAACTGTCAACCACCGGTTTTAGGAGCGAGACGTGGAATACGGGGTGAACCTTGAGTGCTGCGGGAAGCTTTAGTCAGACGGCACTGGGATTGATGATGCGATCCACAGGGTAGGGTCAGATTAACCTGGGAGCCATTTTCCGGGAATCCGCCAGTTCCGGACCGTAGTCCTCTCCAGAGCGGCTCTGGCTTCCTGCCAGACCCAGCGGGCTCAACGGAACTGGGCCTGGACCAAGGGACTGCCACCTCGAGTTCCTGGCTGGGGAATAGGGGAGGTTGAAAACTGTGGGTCACCATGAAAGGTGGCATCCCTGTCGCAGAGCTAACCATGGAGTTGTGGGAATATTCCACCCATGGTAGGTGAGAGCACCAGGAGGCTGGGAGACGGGAAGCCACGCACCGCAATGCGGACTCCAGGTCCTGGTTGGCTCGCGCCGTCTGACCGTTGGACTGTGGGTGGTACCCTGACGAGAGGCTGATTGTGGTGCCCAAGGTGCAACAGAAGGCCTTCCATACCTGGGAGGTGAACTGGGGGCCTCTGTCAGACACGATGTCCTGGGGGATGCCATGGAGGCAGAAAACATGTTGCACAAGCAGGTTGGCTGTTTCCAAGGCTGACAGGAGCTTGGGGAGAGGGACAAAATGAACCGCCTTGGAAAAACGGTCCACTGTGGTGAGTATCGTGGTGTTTCCCTCTGAAGGTGGAAGTCCGGTGACGAAGTCGACTGCTACGTGGGACCAGGGACGATGAGGAACAGGTGAAGGCAACAGGAGACCAGCAGGTTTTGTTTTACAGATCTCTCAACACATCATTTACCAGAGCCTGAAATACTGCAGGTGCATTAGTTAAACCAAAAGGCATGACTAAATACTCAAAATGTCCCAGATGTGTGTTGAACGCAGTTTTCCACTCGTCCCCCTCTCTGATTCTGACCAGATGGTAGGCGTTTCTCAAGTTCAGTTTTGAGAAAATGGTTGCTTCATGGAGAGGACCAAAAGCTGAGTCTATGAGGGGGAGCGGATATTTGTTTTTCACAGTGATTTCATTCAAACCTGTGTAGTCGATGCAGGGCCGTAGAGTCTTTTTCTCCATGAAGAAGAAACCGGCTCCCACCGGAGATGAAGAGGAGCGGATGAGACCTGCAGCTAAAGAGTCGTTAATATATTTTTCCATGGATTCTTTTTCAGGTTTTGAGATGTTGTAAAGTCTTTTTTTGTGGGGAGAGGTGCACCTGGGAGCAAGTCTATGCCACAATTGTAAGGTCGGTGAGGAGGGAGTGACAGGGCTCGGTCCTTACTGAAAACTTCCCGTAAGTCATGATATTCACTGGGGACCGAGGTCAAGTCAGTGTTCTCAGGTGCACTTACACCACTGGGGTTTCTCTCCGGAATGGCGGAGTGTAGGCAGTGAGCATGGCAAGCTACTCCAACTACGAATGGTGGCTGTGGCCCAGTCTATGTGTGGGTTGTGTCTTTTTAGCCAAGGTAACCCGAGCACAATGGAAGTCAGAGGAGAAGAAATTACATATAGCTCAGTAAATTCATGGTGGTTACCAGAAAAAGTCAGCTTCATGAGTTCAGTCTTGTGAGTGATGACCACCAGTAACTTGCCATCAATGGCCCGGACCTCCCTAGGTGAATCTAGCTTTATCAGTGGAAGGCTATTGCATGTAACAAAGTCTGTGTCAATTAAGTTGTCGTCCGCCCCTGAATCCACCAAAATCTGCACTGGAGTAGTCTGTTGAGCATGGTGCAACATACACCTTAACTTGTAGGCGGCCTGAGGAGGTTGTGGAAGTGGTGGTTTGGCTCATCAGCGCCCCCTCGCCTACTGATGAGCCCGGTCTTTTGGCAACTCTGAACACTGAGCCAAGAAATGGCCCTCCCGACCACAGTAGATGCAGAGCTGGTTGCTCAGGCGCCGTTGTCTTTCCGCCGGAGTCAGACTTGCTCCTTCCAACTGCATCGGCTCTTCTTCGGACCCTGGGGCTGCAACGCTGGGGCGAGAAGCGCTGGAGGTCGGCAGGGGTGGTGAGTAAGAGGAACTAGCGGATGCGTGGCTGAATGGAGTGGGGGTGAAAGCACGGGGCCTCTGCCTATCTGTTCTCTCCCTGTCTCTTTCCCTCATTCTGTTATCCAGACGAATAGCTAAATCAATGAGCTTGTTTAATGACGCAGTTTCATCTCGTACCGCCAACTCGTCTTTTACATCCCCCGATAACCCCTTACAAAGGGGGAATGTGCAGGGCTGTCAACACTCAGACTCAAGCGATATGTGAGTTCAATCGCAAGCTGGATGCGACTCCTGAACTCCTTCGCAAGATGGATGCCAACTTGGAGAAGTTGTCAGCTCGGCTTGGCTGAAACTGGCCACCAATTCGGACATATTGGAAGCAAGCCACCGGGAGACTCAGAGAGACTCAAAGGCAGACGAAAAAATTGCAGTGTCGGCCTGACCCAAAACAATTGTTATCTTCATTGGCTCCCCGAGATAACCAGCTCTCCCAAGGCCGTTTACCTCTCCTGGATGTTCCAGACAAGATGCTCTGCCCCCCCCCCCCCCAGTGAACTTTGTTTCTGGATCAGAACTCTCCGAGGTCGTCTCCACGGCAACGGCCGTGTCTTCGTCATCAGTTATCAGACGGCAGAGACAATGGGTNGTCTCCACGGCAACGGCCGTGTCTTCGTCATCAGTTATCAGACGGCAGAGACAATGGGTTGGGACTGAGTGGAGATGAAGTACATGGACTTACACACACACACATGAAGACACATATAACATGCACACCCCCTCCAACTCAACGCCTTCTTGCCCCCCCCCCCCTTCGTCGCAATGTAGCATGGGAGGGTGATGCGATGCGCCCAAATGTGGCTGCGTGCGCGCCCCCCAGTGTCTGTGCTGCGACACCTCCCCTTCCCAACGAACGCGACAGAATTATCTGGCACCGAAGTGAAGTCAGAGCCGGCTTTATAGTGAGGTAGATGAGGTAAAATGGAAACCAGGTGTGCCTCGCCGCCCGTGGTGGAAAGGTTGGTCAGCCCCACCTCCGCCCCACACCAGCCCTGCAGCTCATGGAAGGACAGGAGAACAGAAAGAAAACACAACACAAGAGCAGCCACAAAACATGCATTAAAAACTCAACCCATAACAGCTGCCTTGCCTTGAACTGTAATAATGAAACAGCTGGATATGGGGTGCCGTTTGTAAAGTGTCTCACGCTGAAAATAACATCAACATTTTGCCACATTTAGCTTCAAACAATGTTTAAAAAAGTGTTGTGAATTTTTTAACATCACCTTTTACCACATTTACAGCAATATTTGTTAACTTAGAAATATATTAAATAGTTAAATCTAGATATTAAAAGTGGCACCTAAATGTTAAATGTTAAATCTAAATATTAAATCTAAATCTAAATGTTAAATCTAAAT